GTCCACCGAAAGTCCTGATACCCTTGGACATCCGGCACCACCACGAGACTTCTTTTCGGGTACTATTTTCTAACTCTTCTAGTGAGTTCCTTGAACTCATGTATTGGTTATAGATTCACCTACAGCATTGGAATAAATATCTACCACTATGATTGCTATCCGTAAACTACGTGGTCCAGAGGACAACAGAATCTTTGATGCTCAATTTTCCGGGTGACGTCACGAGGGGTATCAGGACTTTCGGTGGACCCGAGTAATTCTCAGGCTGTACCAACAGTTGACCTGTTGTTATCCACGCGTGTTTCGATTCTCGTTATGTATGCTTTTTTCACCTCGTCGTTTGCAGCAGGCACAGCATTTATTCAGAAACCTCCTGTAGTCGCTCTTGAACCCTTCGTCAATAAACTCTATTTTGAACAAAGAGTTCCTTCTGACCGAACCAATTCCTCAGCTACTGTAGTTATAGGCACGAATCCAAGAGCTCTGAACGTTAGAAAGGTTGTCACGGGAACAACACGGGAATGTATTACGATCTTCCTTTGTATAAGTACTGCACCATAGTCGGTAAAATTCCTCAGTTTGACCTCACTCGGCTCAATCGCCTTTCGCTCTCAAACTCTTGTCACCAACGTTGCGTGATTAGAGCCTCAGCCACCGATCCAAGAACAACGAACATAATTTGACATAACGTGATGGCAACAGCCGTAGCAATTATTCCCACAAACCCAGATATTCAACCCAAGACCACAGATCCTATTTATATGCCAATGACAACTCCAACTGGATTATCATCCGCCCAGAACACCTTGGATGACCTCCCGACAGAGCTCCAAATTCACAAGCCACCAGATTTTGCTTCGCCAAGGTCATCTTTGTCCTATCCTGCTGTACCACTGGACTGGCAACAGAATGGGCACTAGTCAAGCACCCCAGACACGGAAGCTGGCACCAATATCCACTCCAAAGACGCCGGAAGAAGCAATACTTGCCATCAGAGCCATTGTGGAAGGGTTGAAGGACGAAAGTGATAGAGACACTGTGGTTAGGATATTGACAGAGCAGGGTTTTTAAAGAGGCGAATGCTAAATTGACGGTTAGCTCCACCTCCCTGTATCTCGACATCTCATGTATTGCATCGCTGGAACGAAACTATGCATAATTTAAATGTATAAAGATCATCGCTGGTAGTTTATTGGCTAGCTTACGCGTCATATAGACTTTCGAGAATTGGGCGTGCGAAATGGTTCGACTCCCAGCCCGGGAATACCAGATTTCGACACGTTTATTTGTTTTGACGAAAATGTACAGTCTGAAACTATTGCGATGCTATCTTTACAATCGAAATGAGAACAAGGTTGGTGACTTCTTTGATAGGATCAAGAACCAGCGACTCGGATTAATTTGTCAAACGGCCGAAAACGGCGAAAACAGCTGTTTCTAGACCTATCTCACAGGACCCTTAAGTTCCTATACGCCAGCTTCCACTCAGCCTCTAACCTGGGAATTTTATTCTGTTGAACTTCTCTCGGAAGCTGCTTCACCAGCTTGGTAGATAATCCTGGGCCCTCTGAGGGAGATTGCAGTCTCCTTGGAGTGCTATAGTTTTGAGTCGCATCGAGGTTCTACCCTCGCAGGGCAGAGCACCTGGTGTAGTCCTGGTGAGTGCCCGAAAAGGCCTATTTCAAGGACCGCCGATGATTCCAACACACGCAGCTCAAACAGTGACTCATACATAACTCACAATAGCATCTAGAATTTGGAAATGGGAATAGTGTACTGATCCACCGCGAGAGAAGACTGGAAAAACAGGGTAACAGACAGGCAGTCTTATTCCACTCCATAGCCGACGTTCTCGTTTGAGAAAGGTCTAAGTCGCTAATAATCGAGAATTTGAGAATAATATTCAACTGACATCCTCCGACCCTTCATGTCGTCTATTTCTGATGTTCCAGACCAAAGGCATGTTCTTCACATTCATCGCTTTATGGCATCAATCATAGAAGGTAATACATCTTTGCGCGTCATTCTAATTCATCCTGGACAGTTGACGCCGTAGGAATGATCTATTTTGGGAACATTGAATGCTAAAACTCGCCCTCTGTGAGAGTGCATGTTTACCTCATGTCAAAAGCCTTTGTTGCATCACGCCACGAAACCGTTTTTCCTGCGACGCCATTCATTCATGATTATTATTTACATCATAACAGTAGCTCCACTTCGACGTGTTCAACAGCATATCTACAGGCGCCTACGCATCACGTTGAAAAACATATAAAAGCCTCCCTGTTCGACCAGAATTCTTCACTTCACTCGACAGTAGTCTTCTTACCTTCCCAAACATGCAATACAAACTCATCTCTCTTGCTGCTTTCGCCACCCTTGCGGCTGCCACAGGTATTCCGCCCAGCCAATGCAGCACCGGGCCTATTCAGTGCTGCAACACTGTAGGCGATGCCAGTGATCCCGCCATCGCCAAGGACCTCGGTCTTTTGGGCGTCGTCGTCCAGGGTGTCAACGTTCTCGTCGGTCTTACCTGCACCCCAGTCACCGTCATCGGTGCTGGTGGCTCTGGCTGGTGAGTGCTCTGCTAGCTATTTCTTTGTTTTTTGTGGTCTGGCACTAAACCAAACTGTAGCTCTGCCCACCCAGTCTGCTGCACAGACAAATCTCATGGTAAACCACTTTGAATATCTCCGACTTGGTATGCCGAACGAACGCTGATTTTACGTCTTTGCAGGTACCGCTGTCTCTGTTGGCTGTGTGCCCGTCAACCTCAGCCTCTAATTGGATTCGGATTCTTGCCCGTCGCCTACTTATTACATCGACTTGACAGAAGTTGTAAAGAGCTTGTAGATATGGGTGCTCGTACCTATGTGGATTGTCTTCGAGTCGGACTGTAATTGGTCTCGGACATGTTATGCGAATGGATAAGTATATTGTAATCTGTTATGGTGCCGCTAGGAGCTCTCCTCAAAGTGGAAGTCTCGATGATTTCGGGGGATTCGCAGAACCCGAGTCTGAACTTGTAAGTTGAATCATGAGTGACGCATCTATGTACGAGTAGGTACGAATGATTAGCCGTGAATGGTTGAGTACTGGGTTCCTGGTGCCTGGTGGTCCAGAAGGGCCCAGTGTTCATATGTTCACGCGTCTATATAACTTGAATGTATGCGGCTTTAGATCCCCAGGTATCGTATCTAGCTTGTCGTATCTCCCTCAGGATCAAGCTTGAATCCTAATCTCGCTTTGGGAGCGTGACTCGGAAACCTCTGACCACATAAATAGGGTGTTAGTATTACGGTAAAAGCTTCGTGAGCGCTTTTTCGGCGCTAAGCCTCCTATATGTGGCAATACGCCGTTCAAAACCCTTGTCAGCATAATTGGACTTGTCGAAATACACTACGTATGGTCATTGTAGCTATCATAATTATGCTCCAAGCTATGGAGACGCTTTATTGTTCACTGATTTCCCAGAGCCCAGGCTCGGGATGTTTAGGCTTCGAACCCAAGGACTCTCTAAATCGACAGTGATTAATTCAAAGGCTTTGAAGCTCGTTATCGTGCAGAATAATATTTAATCACGTCCCAACAACAATCAAAAGTATTATTCGACTGCATTAGCGCTAAACCTCTTATATGTGGCCAGACCGTTCAATACCCAACCCAATTCGCTTCAAAGCCAACTTGGACTTGTCTGACTCGCGATATACAATTTACCTGTGAACACTGTTACTGTTCTAACCCTCGCACTCTCAGTTAATATTATCCCCTATATACAAGTAGAGAGAAGCTTCGAGCTGGCTAAAGTGCTTCCAGCCTAGGCAGTTGTCCTATCTAGCCTAAAACGTGGAATTTTGCCGTGATAGCAAACGTCAAGCGATGTTCTCTTCTAATGCTGGAACAGCTCGTTCCTCAGGTGCTGTAAACGCGTGCGGCAGGCTATTCGTTCGTGATTTAAATGAGGTTCGTCATCTGAATTGAAGATCTAGTGCCTCACTTATAGCCCTCCGCAGTGTATCGGTTTACACGCTTGTAGGATAAATCTCCATAATACGCGTAAACGGTGGGTTCGAGTCCCAGGTAGGGCAATAAACAGTGTGTATGTGATGTTTTTTATTGAGGTCGGTGAGAAGGAAAATCTCGGGACTCTCCGTTTACTTCTGTTTTCTACCCATATAAAAGGCTAGGATGTAAGGTACTGCGGGCCGAAGCCCAAAATAGATCCCAGAGTTCCCTCACAAAAACCCTCCATTTGTACCTGGGTATGCTCCCTGGCTGGGAGTCGAACCCAGATTCGCGCGGAAGATTTCTTTACGTGCTATGACAGGCGCGTGTACTAACCGATATACTACCAGGGACTTGTTACATGGTGCTTGGTTTATTAGTATACCAAATATAGATCAACACGAACAACAGCTGTATTGGTCGATTACTGTGTTCCTGGTTCTTAGAATAGTGAATTGTTCACTTGTCCGAGTCTACTATTTGCGTATTCCCGGATATGTGAGACAACCATACAGATGTGGTGGACGACCTATGTATCGAGTCCGAACATCTGAATCGGTAGCGGCATTCAATTCAAAGTCGTTAATCGTCTATGTTTATGAGCGCCTTTTCAGCGCTTAACTTCCTATATGCGGCAATACGCCGTTCAAACCCCAATTGCCTGTCAACGACGAGTTCCCTGCGGATCTCGGCGAATGTTGCCGCTATATACGAGAAGAGCGAAGCTTCTAATCGAGAATTTGATTTCCGCGCGCTAACGGTACAGGTGGTTGGTCATAGTATCTGGCCCGATTTCATTCGAACAATTAGAGTGAAAATCTCCAAAGGCACGGGATCATTCTCTCATGATTCATCATGGATTCTCCTACATTCGAGGAGAAACGATAAATCGATTTACTGGCGATCGAGATCCGAATGAGCATGAATGAGATGAGAGTGTCCCACCCCAGTCGATGATCTACGTCTCGTATCCTGATTTAATGGTCCAGGTACCTTCCCTGGTCGTATACCGGTTAATACACGCGCCTTCTATTGAGGCTCACGCAAATATCTAGCACGCGCGTAAGCTGGGTTCGAGTCCCAGTCAGGGATTCTAAGGGTGGACAGACATTTTTGGATCTGTGTTGCTACTATCATTTAAATGGATTAGTCTGTCTTCACAATGGAAGCTATCCAACCAAAGAGAAACTGCTCGGGAAAGTATAAAGCCAAGATTGATCAATTACGCTCGTAAGATCAATATCTCCTTCTCGATGAATCCAAGTACCAGAGTCCCTGGTGGTAGATCGGCTAGTACCCCATCGTGGCGCGCAACAGCTGGGTTCGAATCCCAACCAGGAGGTTCGTTCGATGGAACAAATCCCTTTTTCTCTTGGTTTACATGTATCTCGAAAAATGCTTGATCCAGAGAAACATACAGGGCTTCAGATAATTCAAAGGCTCGACTTTTAATGTATGACGTTGAAAGCAGAATCGGAAACCGAAAAGTCGGGCTCATCCGCACGCACCGAAAACCAAACCCGTGCCGATTGGGAGGAGAATACGGCTCGGTGTTAGGTTACAGGACATTCGTACACAGAGAACAAGTCACGTCCATCAAATCACGAGAGCATGTTCCCTGGTAGTACATCGGATAGTACATACTACATGTGCTTATACGCACGAAGGCTGGGTTCGAGTCCCCTGCTAGGGAGTAATAGATCGGCGAGCCGAGATTTTTCGTATCTAGAGTTTAGAGCGGTATTACTGGTCTTAATTCAGGGGAGATGATGGTACATGAACTCCGAGTCGAAAGCTAAAGGAGAATTAACAGAACACCCATACTCATAGAATAACAAGTAGCAGTAAGATCTTTCTACCCCGAGAGCCAAAAACGTGCATCTCGCAGGGAATTCCCACTATGAACTACTCTTACGTATGGTAGTCAATTGGATCCAACATTTGAGTTCCGAACGAAGAGGAATGAAAATGAATCGAACATCTAATAGGAATGTGTAACCACACTCGAAGACAAACCGTACTCCATAAGACCCTGGTAGTATACCGGTTAATACCCGCGCCTTCATTGCATGAGCTCCAGAAGCACGCGAAATCTGGGTTCGAGTCCCACCCAGGGAATGAAAGCTACTCTTGAATCTTTTCTTGCTTTCGTGTTTCTCGGCTAGATATCCCAGGGATGTAACTGATTGTTTGTGCATCGTCTTGCTTCACAGCGAGGAAAATTACTGGTGATCGCAAATTCACGGCGAAGATCAGCACTCAAAAATCCGTATTCGTATCATTTACGTGCACACATAAATAAAAAAAGCAATCCCTGGTAGTATATCGGTTAGTACACGCGCCTGTCATACGGCAACCGCGATTCCCTCGCGCGCGAAAGCTGGGTTCGACTCCCAGCCAGGGAGTGTATAGTCTGTTTGCATTTTTTTATGATGGTGTAAATTTTATTTTCAAAAACACTTAGAAGGAAAAAGCAAAAGTTATCCAAATGGGGCAACATCTCCCTGGCTGGGAGTCGAACCCAGCTTTCGCGCGGTGAGATGGCTACGTGGGACGTATGACAGGCGCGTGTACTAACCGATATACTACCAGGGAGTTATGTAGTTACATGTTGTACCCTTACTCATGTAGATCATATGAAAGCAACACCTCGAAAAAGCAACACCTCGAATACATTCTCGGATACAAGATACATGAACATACGACCGGGGAGGAGGAATACAAGACGTGGGATGATACACACAACACGCTACACCCGGGGAGACCTAACCACTATACCCAAAACTCAACTAAACACCCAAACCCAGAACCCAGACCCAAAACCCAAAACCGAAACAACCTAATAGCTCTGATCATCGCAACCGCCGTACTGGTCACAGGTAGGAGGAGCGGGAGGAGTCCAGTCGTCGCAGCCGCCGTATTGGTCGCAGTTGTTGGTAGGAGGAGGAGTCCAATCGTCACATCCGCCGTAAGTGTCGCAAGTAGGGGGTGTGGAAGGAGGAGGCGTCCAATCGCAACCGCCGTATTGATCACAGTCCTTGGCAGGAGGTGTGTAGGTGTCGCAACCGCCGTAAGTGTCGCAAGTAGGGGGTGTAGAAGGTGGGGTCCAATCGCAGCCGCCATACTGGTCACAGTCCTTGGCAGGAGGAGTGTAGGTGTCACAACCGCCGTATGTGTCACAGGTAGGAGGGGGAGTGTCGCAGCCTCCATACTGGTCGCAGGTAGGTGGTGGGGTGTAGGTGTCGCAGCCGCCGTATTGGTCGCAGGAGCCGTACTAAGAAGGTCTTATCAGTACCTGGATGACGGTGAGAGAAGGCAGGGAACGCACCGAGTCATCTCCACCGTAGACATCTGACCTCTTCTTGATAGCAGCACCCGAGACGGAGAGTGCGAATGCGAGAGTGATCAGGGTGATGAACTGTCATGGGCGTTGTTAGCCTTCTTTGTCACTCGAAATGAGACGGAGGAGCGTACCTTCATGTTGTCGTTGGAGTGAAAGTAGATCTAGATGCGATGAGAGGACGGAGAGAGCTTGAACAGGACGATGGAGGTCGAACTGGTGAGGAATTGAGAGCTTGGAGGGGCAGGTTATATACCCATCGAAGGAGGCTGGAGGATGTTTCGTAGGATTTGAAATTGAGAGCTTCTAGTGGGGAAGTCGTCGGGTGTCGGGTACTGGGGTAGGGTGTTTCATATAGAGGTCGGGTGGACGTTTCAAGGATGTCGGGTGAGAGTCGTTGAGTGTCCTCGTGCGTCGGTAGAGTCAGGCGATCGTCTTGGTTCTTCTCCCGAGTTTCATTTGGCGTCTGGGATCCTTTCATATCCATGAATACTCTAGACCCCAACTCAAACCCTGGCCTCAAACACCCTCTCATTCCTTGAGTTGATACACCCTAGCCCAAACTTCAAGCGTTCGACGTTCCATGAGCCAGCAACCACTGTGTTTCAAATGCTCCGAACTTCGAGTTACACTTGAGCGGTATGTACTTGCATGTCAGATGAGTGGTGGAATTCAGGGTGGGCCAGGTTGAACAGGGAAGGGAGAAAGGACAATGTAGTCGTTGTCGTCGTCAAGGGCAGAGAAGAGTTTCGGCCCCGCGCCGGAAGCAGTCACATTCCGGCCGGCATGTGATATCGATTTACCTATTTTGGAAGAGCTGTTTCGGACAAAGAATGAACTCGTTTTTCTCTTCTGAGGTTGTTTTTGCAGTTTGTTTGCAGTCGCATGATAGTCGTATAGTAACGACTTGAAAAGATACAGGCGGGCGTTCAAGTGAGCATTTGCCCGTGGTTCTAGGTTCACCTCAAATCAAGCGCACAGACCATCGTGACGTTGTGACGGATCTGTGACTCGGCGAAATGTCACATAGTCAACACGTTTTTTTCCCTTTCCCATCATCTCGTCGTGGAAGCCCGAAATGAAACTCTCGTGTTCAGAAGCAAGAATAGAGCTGTCTTTCAAAGGGATCGGAGTCAGAAGACTAACTGGTTCTTTTCCCAATCAAATATCATATCCGATTTCCTCAATCAATGCAGCCACGATTAGAGCCTTATTCAGATCCTGGAATACGATCGTCGTAGAGACTCGCCCAAGTGCCAGGCTGATGGTTGCCAAACAAAGATCTGCGCCGCTCAAAGACTGACAATCTCAGGTTGACGCTTTTGCTTTTCAGGTACGTACCGCACATGAATTCTCCTTCGTATCCGTGCTGATTCTCATATATAAACACGATTCTATTCCACCAGCCCAAGCCGTTCATTGCCCTCGACCGAAGAAGAAAAGAAGCCTTTCTGTGCATGTCATTGACTGCTGGATCTGATGCCCAGAGATTGATCCTATTGCCGACCCATCTTCCAAGTGCTTTCTGTACTCAAGGAGTACGGTCCGGCCATATCCCTTCAACTTTTTCACGAAGGAGATTATCCCTCTCACCTCAGGCCCACAACCCAGTTGCTCTCAGGCATCCATTCTGGCCGATTCTCGACAAGTTGTGATACAGTCAGTGGTAACAATCAATGCGTCATGCCGTGTTGATCCGTTTACTCGCCCCGACGCTTCTCAGCACAGTTTTTTACTGACAGTTCAGGGTATTCTCAGCTTGTATCTCATGCTTGTTAGTACTCTGAAAAAGGTTTATATATATGCATCTTTGACTCAAAGATACAAGGATTTGGGGCGGATTTCGAGCGATACAAGAAGAGGGTAACCAGGTCGGCATTCAAACGGCATGACGCAATGAATTTTACTAGGCACTGTACATGGTATGAATGAAGGACTTTATGAACGTGAGTATTCATGTTTACCCTAAAGCTCATAGTCCAATATCATCCACGTGCTTAGTTGCGCATTGTTTTCCTCACCTGAAGTCACGACGCTGTCACTCATATCACATATCACCAGTATGAAGCACACTGACCTTCTGTGACTCGCTCCCTTTCCTTATCATCGCCCACGATCAACATAAGGTTGAATCCCAAGTCGGATGACCAACGATCTCGGCAGTAGTTGAACTCCGAGTTCTACACTGTTCAATCCTACGAAAGATGCTCAACCCGTATGAACCGACTCGAACTACATCTTGCATTATCGTTCGTCTTACACTGGTTTCGGAAACACTAATACCGTTGTCAGTTGACAAGTAGCCCTAGGAATTCACGCACGGTCTCTCTGGTCTGCACCACATGGTAAGGTAACATACTTCTCGTCGGCCGAGTACACGGCGACGAATCGACTTTGACTTGTATGCCAAGAAAGTCGCCTTCGGAATTTCTTCGTCTAACCATATCAAGTGTACCGTGCCGCGTTAGTCCATGCTGCCAATCTGAGCGTAAATTTTGGGTTGCGCACTCATCTAAACTTGGTGTGTTTGCTCGAACTCAAATCCGCACTGTTATAGCTTAAAGGCCTTGATATCATGGATCCGAGTGTGTTTTTCTTTCGTGTCCGGTGTCATAGTAGTTACCATTATTGCTTGCTGACAAGTGAAGGATAATCTAATCTCTCTTCGTCTGTTGACAGACGCTTTAGCACTCCTGCGAAGCAAGAGACGGATATGACGACAGTTCTGGCGTTCTTTACCTTGTTCCTTCTTCTCAGATCGCATCCATCTGTTCGACATTTCCCGGGCCATTGCAAGGGTATTCAACATCGTCAGTAGGCATCTGTTACTCCCGAGAAACGATGGAGTGCTTATATATACTCCAAATACAATCATATACTCATATCTTGCCCGGCCACTGAAGATGTGTTCAAGATGCACTCGAGCCTATTTGAGTCGAATGCTCACCTTTCAACCGAGGATAAGTTAACCTGTGTGACATCTGACAGTTGACTTCTGATGCGACCAGCCAATTGTATTCTGGTTGATACTAATATCATGACCAAGCGTCCTAGCCTTGCATTTCCCGTTCATGTAGAAAGCCATGATCGACTTGGGATCCATTCCGTTCTGACTCGGACAAATGCTGTACTCTCACATGTCCTACTTGCCCCCATCCACCTATCGTTGGTGAATACCGGATCCCGACTACGCGAACATCAATGATATGCTCCCGTGATTGAAATTAGTAACGCTTCTACGTCAACTTCACCATGTGCACGGCTGCATACGACCTGTTTACTTTCGAGAGCGGAGCCAACGCTAGCGACACAGTGGTCAAGAAATAGCAAGCGCATAACGTACGGTAGCTCTAATATCTGTTACGTAGTTGAGCTAAAAGATATGGTATGAGCGCTAATACGGGCGCCCCAAATTGGAGCGTCTGAGCTCTCCTGTACATTGGAACTGTCTAATCCCGCGAGGACTGCAGTTCTACAGAGCAACAGTCTCTAAATCTTAGATGCAGCATGATAGTCTTCGAGCCTCCGTGTTAGCTTACAATCAATCAAACCTCTGCCTCTAACCACATTGTAATACACATGTACTCGGTCTGATTGTCCCAGCCGCCCTTTGACATAGGCAAATACCTGGGTGTCCATCTATTCCTGTGATGTTTAAAATTGGTCTGTATCAAGAGGATACTACAAAGCACGATCAACGAAGTAGAAGAGGTTCTTCACAAGCTACCAAAGAATAAATTGAGTTCGTTGGTTTGAACAGCAAAGGTGATCGGCTTCGGCCCGGGTCAACTAAACACCTCTGACCGAGACACTAGCGCACGATATCACCCACGATAACACTGAGTCATATCTGGATTCCGGGAGCAGTAGGGAATATCATGTAAAGTTCCTCTAACTTTCTATGCCTCCGTCCTCATCCTTCAAGCTACACGGCGGCACCAAACTTTATTGAGACAACCCAGATAGTTTGATGGCTATCCATCCAACTGATGCTTCTTCATGTAGACGTTATGTATGCCCTTTCTCTTCTTACTTGTCAGCAGGGCCACTCCACAGATAATTATACCATCATCATGGACTGTGAGTGTAAGAGTTTTAATCACTTAACCAAGATCTCAGCTTGCATTCGTAGAACACGACGGTCAACATCTCGAAGGAGGACCGTATTCAGATCGCAAGTGCCGCTCTGGATATGGTCCTGTCCTCTGGAGTTCCTCAGAGTATATGCGCATAACCTACTTTCACCTGGGCGCGA